TGAAAACGACTTAGGTATTATTGTTCAAGAGGACTTAAGCTGCTCCATCAATTGTGCTAAGGCTTCGTCCGCTGCTATAAAGAATTTCGCCTTACTTCGGGGAGTCTTTCGTCGGTTTGAATCATCACTATTCCCACGTTTGCTATCAGCGTACATTCGACCCTACACAGAGTATGCCATCCAAGCTTGGAGTCCATGGTTGGAACGTGATCGCAAGATGCTTGAGCGCCCACAAAGGATGGCCCCGAAGACGGTCAAGGGATTGCATTGCCTCGCGTATGAGGAGAGATTACGATTATTGGGACTATGTTCTGCTCAGTACCGCCGAATTCGGGAAGATTTGACTTTGACGTATCAAATACTGCAGAACCCAAACCATCCATTTCAGCAGCTGCTCATGCTATCGAACAATGTACACCTTAGGGGACACCGTTTCATGTTACTGCTTCCAAAGTGTCGACTGGATTGCCGGCGCCAGTCTTTTGCTGTCAGAGTATGCAGTACTTGGAACACCCTTCCATTTCACGTCTTTTGTGCACCAACTAAAAAATCTTTCAAGCGGAGACTCGATGAAACCTTGGTACATCTCAAATTCCTACACCATTAAAGCAAACGCAAATTCATCGAAGCCTACATTCTCTATAATCTCCCACCTGGAATTGTATGTGATTTTTTTCACCGTGAAACAATTCAGTTGTATAAATATTCTATGGGGACAAGAGAAGCATGAGCTTGTAAGTAATTTCCATAATGAAACTGTGACTTTGACGTTGACCATAACGAATAAGGGGCTGCATCGGGAATATCAAGCTGTTCACACTGTACATTGCTTCAACGGTAAAGTTTCATTCCAGCTAGCGGTGAATACTCAAATTCATTTACATGACTAAAATGTCAAAAACAGTAAACAGTATATAGAACTATAGGAAAACAGACAACATCAGTTAGATTAGTCACGTTTTCAGTTCACCGTTCAGGGTGATGAAGCAACCAGGCAAGGTGCGGTACGGCGGTAATGGCGTATGCATATTTTTGTCCACATAGACAATTGAACCCGAGAACGAGACAATGGCACAATTTTACATAAAGTGGGTGTGTATGTGTTCGTCTGAAATTTTCGTCCAAAACCTTGCCTTGTTTGGAGATGATTTCATCTGTTTGAGGCGCCGCGATCCAAATAATAAAACTAAGTCTCAATAGGTCAGCGTATCACTTATTCTCTATTCAAGAATGATGTCTTGGCCTATCAAGCAATTTTAGGGTATATATAGACCGGGGGACTATATAATGGTTTTTGCTTTTATTGAGGTTGAGGTAGCGGTAATCCTGGTGGTGGTGGCAGCGATGTCCGTGGAGGTAGTCGCACACATTTAGCCGTTGTCGTTAACGTGTTCCGAGTTTTAAGATCTCAAATTAGAACCATAATACTCCTATTTAGCTTTGGTTCTAGACAGCTGGTATCTAATTCAATACAGCAGTTCTTTGATCGATCGCGTCTCTCTTCTTTAAAACCGTATTACTAGATATTCAATTAAAGGAAGTGAAAAAAATGAAAGAGAATGCAAAAACTATCCTATTGGAACCTAAGTCCCTTTATCACCATGGAACTGCAATTACAATTCTTATAAATGAACAATAAATAGTAGGTGATAACTATTTGAAAAATCTTATTGGAGCCCAAAGTCATTTCTTCGTTAACAGATCCGGCAGACTTGAACATACGGTACAAAATAGAGGAAGCGATCGCACGTGAACAAATTTAGCCACGTAAAACTGTCGTGCGACAGGTGACGTCATTGTTGAAACCAACGTGTTAACATGACTCAAAGTAAGTAACAGAGTGAGGTATGAAATCATTCTACAAGCAAGTCCAATGCACTCCAACTTGTTAGGACCCGATAGTAGTAAGTCCGCCCGTGGTTTTTAAAGGCCACTCGATGCCGGCGCACAGATCCAGTTGCAAACTATCGATCTGGCTTAGTCCTTGAAATGTTTTGTAGGCCACTTGAGCAACATAGGGACTAGAATGAGCCATCGGTGAATCTTGTTCACTTGGGTGAATCTGGTGGTGGTAGGCATGTACTTTACAGCCAGATGATGTAAATTGTGTTTGTGCTCGTCCGAGTGTGCGCTGAGGCACAGCGGGACGAAGAAAGATAGGTAGGTAGGTAGGTAGGTAGGTAGGTAGGCAGGTAGATCAATTGGGTTTCATTTCTTAGAGCCAAACAGCTGACACGCGTGATAGACTTCAAGCACTTTTCAATGACTTCACACGTGACCCTGGATGTGTCTGTGTGCAAACTGGCTACTTTCTTCTCATCAACTGAGCATCGGTTCGTTTCGAAGCGATTTACCTGGTCCAAATGAGAATTCAAAGAGCCATTGAGGTTATTTCCAATGGTTTATCCCGTTATCTTAGAGAGTAAAATTAGTTTGCGGAGATTAATATCAATGACACGTAAAGTGCTGGCGGTGGTTATTTCGGTTTTAGGAGCGAAACCGATCACGTGCTCAATCATTACGGGTTTTGGGGGCCTATAAGGGTTTACGTCAATTACGAAAAAAAGAATCTTTGCACCTTAATATTGTGACGCCTCTGAATTATTGATTCACTAACCTGTACAAGAAAATAAGGGGGTGTCAGCTTCTGGCTTAATGTTCTTCTACTTGACTGTTCGAGGATACACACCGCACATCTCCTGGACCAATCAAAAACGGAGCAAAACAGCTGTCTATTACCATACTTGAATCGTCTCCAAAAACTGTTCAATTTAAAGCAACAGAAAACATTGGAATTCGCACCCAACAAAATGCGCAAAGATTAGGCGCTATCACCCTATCATAAAACAAGTTGAAAGCTAAATGTGTTGTCTTTTTGAATTTTCAAATTTTCACAATCGTTTTGCAGCCTATCCACTTTCTACAACCGACCACACCCCTGAATCCCGGTCGAGTTTAGGCCATTATTTTGGAAAGGTTCGTTCGGAAATCCTTATACGATTTAAGTGTTCACATGTGAGCTAGTTCACACAAAATATTGCCTGGGAGGTTACAGAGTTTCCCTCAGGTTTTTTGGATCATCTATACTATTACAGAATTTGAAATAGCGGTGGCCACGGCAGTAAAGTTTTATTCACTTTGGATAAGCGTTTTTGAGCGGGCAAAGTTGCGCACATAACACGACATCAGACCCAGATAATCGAGGTGAGCATCGCCAGTTTTGTTTATGGTTTCTTTCATTGTTTACTTTCTTATAAAACGAATCGAAGCTTCAATTGTAGTCCATATGCAAAAAGCAGAAATGTGATGGCAAGGAGATTCAAATACTTTTATTTTGTTTTAATGCGACTGGTCTTCTGATAGGATACTCCAACCTCGTGAATGATCTGACCTGATCTACTTCAAATTTTGACTTGTATTTTGAATTCTAATTTTCAAACCCTGAAAAGCTATAATACTGATTAACAAACAATTAAAACTTGGTTATTATTCTTAATGAGAATGCATCAAATTCTCAGTAGTTCGTAAGTTTATCTTTATAATTACAGTGTTTGAAGGTATAGCACCAGTTCAACGGTGAACCGAGTCGAACATAATGAGAACAAGGGACAACAATGGTCGGTGGAGAACACATATATAAACGATCTGGTACAAGCAGAACAGTGCCACTTCACAAGCACGGACGATGTCACTTCGGCTGGTGATGCAACGTTTGCAAACAAATTGCCAAGCTCGGTGAACGGGTGAAATGGAATAGCTAAATTTGTTTGTGGTTTTCACATCAGATCTATCACACCGGTTGAGCCACGCGGTGGTGAGAATTTCTCGCGTTACCTCAAACGGTCGATTGCCCCATTAATCGAAACGCACATCAACAACGATTAATTTCAATGATTCATACAAATGTCAACGCAGGTGATCGTTACTAGTGCATCGCTCTGTCACGTGAACCACGAGGTGTGTGATTTTAGGCTACAAATCAGAACACCGTTGCTAACTGAAAAGAAATATTAACAAAATTGTAAATTTATTGAGTCACATTACTTTTGTTTTGTGATACACTTGCGTTGACAATGCAGTTGCATCTCTCGTTCATGCCCCTGTTACTGCAATCGGTTCCCTTTTCAGCCGACCAAATCGTTAGATGAAGTGAAAAGTCGTTATCCGGTTAGCGGTTTAGCCAAACGCATGAGTATTTCTGCGTCAGACTTACTCGGAAAATCGGTAAGCCTGTTTTGTTTTGTCAAGCAAAGTGCTGTCATTACATACTGTGCAATATGTTCCTGTGAGATCGAATTAGTGCTGACAATTTCTTACAGGGATGAGAAGAAGACTCTTTAACAGCCATCACACAGCTCAATTGCAGATAAAGACATTTGCTGCTTTGAATAACTCACACAAACCTTTTTGGTACGCGGACGAGGTGCAGATGAACGGGCAAGGAAAACGTGAGCTGTGAATATTGTTCAGTGATTTCAACTCACACAGAACCAAATATCAACTGCTGAGCACAGCTCACAAGTCATCTAAGGGTAGTTTTACTCGAATCGTAAGGATGGAGCTTAGTCGATGTCCCTGAGGGGTGATGATTTTCTACGACTACGAATGTGGTTTAGAGCAGAATCAGACTGTGGATCGTTCGCAAGCTGCCTTTGGTGATGACGCACCTTCAAGAAGCACTTTGCTTGATTGGTTTGCGGAATTTAAGCCCGGCAGGCGGTCCCTGTATGATGAGACACGGTGTGGTCGATCTGTGGACAGACAACATTGCCGATCTGCATGTATTCGAAAGATCCAGAATCCACGAAAAACGTTGCACAAGTCAATGGCTATCCAGTCGATGGAAGAAGCCGAATTCCAAAATGAGCAAAACTCCGTAAACCAGATTCAAATCAACAACTTATGGTTTAAAAAACCTATCGGTTTTCCAGATGAGGTTGTCACATTTTGTGTCAATAAGTCGAAACGATAAGTTCGGACTTGCGCCTACTAACACATATTTGTGAACCGTTTTGTTTGTGTGTGTGCATTACTACACCCTCTTTGCTTGTACTCAAATATTATCTGTTTATACGTCTTATGAATCACATTCACTCAGCACTTCAGTCCCCGTGTTCGAATGACTTCCCGAACCATTATCCTTTTTACAGCGCGATGAACTCATACTGCTACTGTTACAACTGAATCGGGAGAAAGCGAATTTGCAACGATGGCATGACTATTTTACCCGTCAAATCGATCTAATCCGCTCATCAAAACGGTAAGATAATCAGTCCGTGCGTGTGTGTGTGTGTGTAATGCGGAGATAGGATTAAATTTGTCATGCGGTTGAGTAGTTGGGTTGTTTGCGTATGTGCACGTGTTTGTTCGTGTGCATTGGGGAGGAAAGGAGAGTGGCGAATATGATGATTGGTAAATCGTGTGCGAAACAATAAAAAAATATTGTTCTGTGTTTCTTTTTACACTCTGTCATTCCGTTCTCATCTTTCGATTTTCTTATAATCTCCTAACCAGGGACAGCGCAGATGCAAATAAAGATATTGAAGCAATCGAGGTGGAACTGAAAGACGTGAATGGACAATTGTCACTCTCCGAACCGCTGGTCACATTCCTTAGCAATATGCTTCGAATGGGAGATCTGTACGGGGGCGATGATGTGTTGTTCGCCAGCGAATATCGTCAAGTATGTGCATTGTGTGGGAATTTCTCACTGTCAATAATGTGATGTTTCTTTTCGGAAATATTTTTTGTACGGAATACTCGTAGATCCAATTAATCTCTTTCATTGCTCGACGGTTACCGCTGACAGTTCATTTTGAAAATCTACCACCGGGATGAAGGCAATTCACACTTCGGTCGTTGGACCCACAATGATGGGACTAGAGTATGCCCCCCAGCCATAGAGTTTGCACTTCAAATTTTGTTTTATAACGAACCAACAATGGTAAATACCGAAATCCATAAACCCCATGATCCTGCAGAGACAAACTGTTGTTGTGAGGACAGTTACGAGCCTAATTTGTGTGAAACCCCGGGGCTTTTGAATTACGTTGGACTTCAGTTGGTCAAAGTAGCCTCGGATATGACTACCTGAGATCAGCAAACTCCTTGATGGTGTCATTTAAATGTGCCTTTTGTGGATCGATGTTGGCAGAGAAACAACAGTCACCGCCATCGAAATCTGATCTTTATTCTCAGCTTTATAAATTATGGCTATCCTGAACTTTCGAAAAATACTTGGACAATGTGAAAGGATTTCCCACAACTAAATTGGTGATGTATTGCTGACAGGACCCCGCGTTTGATGATGCCTTGGTTCAGTGTGTTCATGATTCATCAAGTGAAGTCAAGTAAAGTGTGCACTTTATTCATCCATTGTGGAGAGAACTTTCAGTGTAGAAGAATGTTATCACTTGCACTTTGGCATACATGCTATTGAAATTGCAATTAGACCAAAATAGACACCAATGTGCGGGAGCGGGAAAGTGTAGAAAATGTAGAGAATTTTCGCATAACAACTTACATGAGACTGCATCAGTTCGTTTGATATTCGTCCCATGGAAACCAAAAGACATGAAAGACAAGGTGCAACGGAGTATGTAAAAAACAGTGGTACGAGTGTAAAAAAGTTTAAATTTATTGCGAGTGTTCGAATTAGAAACGGAGCCAGAGAGGGTTTTGTGTAAAGTATGTGATACATCGGACGAGACTGAGTCACACAGACGGTCACACATCCTAAGGTGTTGGTCGACCAGCGTCACATAAGGGACGAATCCATATATAAAGATGATTTTCAGCGAGCATCTGTTCAATATGAAATCCTTAGGCAATAGACCGGGAAAGATAACGGAAAAGCAGTGGATCCAATGGCATGAAATGCAGGAGAAAATAAATCTAAAAATTACATACAATAACACCCTCAGATGTCAGTGTGAAATTCATGAGGTTAGCTTTCTCACTTTAAAAAATGTTTCTTGTATGTGGTAGGACCATTTGAGGTCGGCAGGCAGAAAAAATCCACGATTCATGGTAACCAAAACTTTGATGCATTTTTTCAGGTTTACAAAAAGGTTAAAACCATCGGACCATTCAGAAATGGAACTTATGGCTGATTGAAGGGGGTTTGTTGAAGGATTGTTATTTGATGCACGATCAAGTACTATCTCGCCGGCCTCTATTAATGTGAAAACAGTTGGGGTGATTGGTTAGTTTTGGATGTAAAAAGAGAACTGATAAGGGGATGAAAATTGCTCCCTGAATTACACTCTGGTTTACAGTAACAGTGGATGACCTAATACCATTGAGATAAATGAATTGGCGTCGGTCAGTGAAGTAGTCATGCAACCAATTCAAAAGGTGTGGTGGGAGATTATGTTACTTAAACAGTCTCAATAGGGTGTTCGTGCCAACAGAGTTAAACGCATTCATGCAATCGAAAAAACGAAAACGGGAACAATTTTGTGTTTTTGGTCTATAGTGAATTAAAACAGAAAGTGTAGAATAAACAGTTTTGTTTATGGCATTTGTTGGGCTGCACTGCATCCAATTTCGAAAGGATTGCTTTTCAATTCCACCGAGACAGTTGACTTCATCATCACATTGGAGTGAATGAATGGGGTGATGCTAGACGTGGTGAGTTTTGTTACTAGTCCCATCTGATGTTCCTATGCAGTTTGTCTGCATTGAGCCCCAGTTGAGACACAGTGACAGGACTACAGAACCACATTGTGCGATTACGTGTTCAGAGCACCAACTTGCATGGCCAAATTATTGTTTCAAATCACACTGTGTTGGTTACAACTCGTCGCACCGATTATTGACGTTTCACTGAGCCATGATTCCACGGATATTTCACACTTCTCTCTGTATTCAAGAGACACACACAGAGGTAGTATGTGATCATTGAGCCCATATTTGTTTATTCACGCTCTCTTCCCATGACGAGTACCATGTGACAAACTGTCACCCATATCTGGGAGTTTCACTTAACCACTGATTGCCCATTGAACACCGATTGTTTTTGGATGCTATAATTATCTCGACCGTTAGAATAGGCAACTATCAGAAAATGATCTAAGAACAAGTCATTGACTAGCTGATTAAGGTACCCTTTGTAGAAATGTTTGATTCGACTAACGTCTACCATCGGTATGTTATGTTGTGAGTCTGACCACTAGCCGATATATTTGCTTGTCTGTAGTTATGATGGTAACACGTGAGGTTACGCGGTTGACAAACAAGCACATACGCACACAATGACGGACAATGGCCATGCCTCTTCAACCGAACATCTATGCAATGACCAATCTCACGTTCTTGTCCACGGGGCTGATAAGGGATGTCCAGTTCCCATTGTCTATAACAAGAACCAAACGAACATGGTTGCAGGGAAACAGCGTGAACGTTGTCTCGGAAACAATGCGTCGTCTACAATTTGTTCACGGTATCCAAAACAACAGTTTGAGAGCAACTCCATGTTTTTCCCGATGGGCCAAACATCACGATATTTAAAATATTATGTTCTGATTAGCCTGTCGGATTTCAAAAGCATCACTTACTGTTTATAGCCTTATTAATTGGAGTGTGGGCCTCGTTGCTTCATCAATCATTTTTCAGGCCAACTAAACTTTGTGAATCGGCTAGAAGAGAGCACCGGACAGCTGCTTCTCAATTGTTGGAGCTCATTCACAGTGCATGTCATTTATGTGCTCAAATGGGGACTCGAACTTTGAACCTTCTAGGAGTGAGAGAGGAAAAGTGCCTTTGGAGCTTCATTTGATCTGCGGCCAATAGCTTGAGCAAATGACCATATTAGTGTAGGATGTACGGTGTGTAGGTGTACGGTCTGTGTAGGGCAGATGTGAATCACTGCTGAAATTCTATGTTCATTTAGCGAAATGACCCCAACCTCAACATTGTTCGAAAAACGTTCATTTTAATTTTTGTTAAAAATTGCCGGGAATGGCATTTGACTGATAAGAAATAAACTCTACTGGATAGGGTTTATTGTTTTCGTAGTTAGTAGCATTCAATAATCGTGCGTATTCCGTATTACTTTGCCAGAATGAAGTTAGTTTGAAAACACATTGATCTGAACAACTTTCGTCTGTACTTCAGGTGGAAACTCACCCGTTCACATATTCCACAGATAGTTAGTGTCCGTCCGGATAAGAATGAATAAATTTGACATTCAATAATTGTTAGTTTTTTTCGCCACTTCTAGGAGCCATGAAACTGACAAAGCTGTGGAGGATTTCCCTCAATTTGTTCACCAACGGTCTGTTTTAGTCTATCCGTATTTTAGTGCTACTTATCATGTTGTGTTCTCTTTGCTTTTGGAGAGGCGGACAACCACATAGGGAGAAGGACCGGGTAGAGTAAGATGAGTACGACGGTGTGAATTTGACTCTGTCATGTTTGTTTGTCTTATAATACACTATAATCCATATAATTCAATGTATTCATAATTTATTTTGCGTGAGAACTATACAGTTTCCAATTGACTGGGAACAACAAACACAAAGTAATATCGAAACAAATCACACGCGTTTGTTTGCGTTTCCTCTTCCGTGATACATTGAAAGTATTTTTGTTTTTGTTTTTGTTTAATTGCATGACAAGTGTGATGCAAAGTTTGTGTTTAAACGTCATGAGTTAACATGAATTAGAAGAGCAAATTGTGGATTCTGAGCTTAAATGTGAAAATTCTATACCCGGGGAGGAAAAGCAGATCGTAGTTGGGTGTTCCACAAGCAAAGTTAGAGAAACGTCACCGTTCAGCGAGTTTTTATAGTCGGTTGGTGAGCGTGGCACAACGTTTGAGACCGCGTTTTACTGGCAATTGATGCTGAAACGGAGGAGACGCCAGAGTGAACAATTGCGAAAGGTGATATCCGTGATAATAACGGTAGAACAGATACGGGCAAACGATCGTAATGCAATGGACAAGATGAACAATGGCCTTGTTCTGTATGCCGTTCAGAGAACCATGAGATTTAGCTTCAGACGTGGCCACTCTATTCTACAGCAGAATGTTTCCGGGGGTTCGAAAGGACGAGAAGCAGGATGGAGGTGAAAATTGCTTTGTACGGAGCAAGTACCGAATTGTCCAGGACGTAAGGCATGAGAAAAATCGGATGCAGATAAGGATCTAAAATGCGATAAACAAAATTCAACATTTAGGTTTGGCTTATGGGAAACAGAGATACAGGAGGTTCTGGTGGTATGGAAACTAATGCACTCTAATCTGGATTGAATGAAATGCACTGAGACCATTGATCAATCAGTGATGAGAATAATGATGCTATCATAAAGAGAACCGGATTAACTAATTGTTGAGTAATTGTCTGGATTTAAAGGCCATAGATGAAGAAAAGGAGAGTAGGCTGGGGGAATCATGAAATTTGATGGGACCCTGAAGTTCGATTTGATTGTTCAAATAATAGTCCTACCAAGACGAACCGAAATTAACTTGCCACAAATGAAGCATTGTATCCAAGTGAATAAACTGAGAGAGAGAGTTTAAACGTAAGAAGTTTCCTCAGAAGTCCATCATGCCGATCCCGGTTGAGCTGGAGAAACCACATGCGACTTGCTGCTTGTGTTTACAAGTACTTTTCGTTGTATCTTCCGTTAGTCATTTGGATTTGCGTTATCGATGTATTTTTCCAATGTGCCCACGGATCTGTGCATACAATCTCTTGGGTTCTGTATGTCGTAGTCCCCAGCGCTCAGTGAAGCTTTTTACCTATCCACGTGTGTTTGAATGCCGTCATCACCACAGCCTGATTTTATACAATTTTTGCGTGTTTTATTAGCCGCTAATTCCTTCCGGAAAAGTGTATCCTTACGTGTTCAATAAAAGAAAGTTTAGTTTCAGTTTTTACAATCATTAGCAATGCATTTTCGTGCGCCGCTTTTGATTGCTGTCTCACGAAAAGAGAAAGAGGACTGACGAATAAGTCGTGTGCGCACAAACGGAATGCAACATACTTTTGTTATATATATATATATATATATATATATATATAGTTTATTTTTGTCTGCTCATGTTCAAAGAATCGAATTCAGCCGAGCTACTGTCTCAAATTTCTACTCGATTTCCTAATAATCCCAATCTGTTTGTGAAAGTAATGCGGTCATTTTTTTCCTTCTGTTTTCGACAGAACAGATTAATGAGTCATACATGTTCATCTATGTGGCCATTATTGATTAAAGAGGGCAGTAGGGACGCGCCCATCCTACCAAATACTCGAGAAGGGTGGGTCGAGGGGTCTGATAATACCATAAAATTCCACTGACCTTGCGCGTGAGAAAACGAACTCACTCTCTCTGTGCTCCCGGAGGCGTACACGTGTGCATGTGTAAGAATAGTTGCGATTTTATACTGTGCGGGTGTGCTTGCGCGCGCGCGCCGTCGCTAGTACGTGACACTTGGAGGTGAATAGCCAAACCCATGAGAACTGTAGAAAATGCAATCAAACCTCACAGGTACCTGTACAGTGAAACCTTTACTAAGGTAACGCTGAACTACTATTGGGATAGCTCACAAAAGACGTATATAACCATGTCTTCGAACGATATGAACACCGAGTCAAAGAATGTGCTCGTACACACACTAACTGGCTCATGCTGACGCTCCACAAGCCCTCGTCTAAATGATGAACAGCGTGGTTGACCCCTGCGAAGTTAGCCGACTCATTGCTGGCTGTATAAATAGTCTCGTATACCAACGAGCAGGTTGCCTTTGTCTTCGCTTTATTTATTTACGTTTCAGGATCGCTGTGATTTGTATGGTTTACATGCCGTGTGCAATACATTGGATACCGTTACGGACTTGTCCCGTCCACAATGTTTTGTTTTTATTTCACTGTTCCTAGCCCCCCTTCCCTCCCCTGCATGCATTAAGAGTCATACAGTAGGAGTGATTCGAATTTCCCGTTGGTCGTAATATTCTCTCCAGATTATCATCACCACCAACTCTTCCTTCTTTGGGTGTGAACAGTTTTGAAACGGTTGGCTTCTTAGATCCTCTGTCGAGTATAGTTACATACTATCCTGCTTTGCGGTTACACAGGAATCTGGAATGATACAAATGATGTTTTGGAGAAACCTTCCCCCGGTGTGAATTTGTGAATCTACAGGCCTGATGGACACTAACACGTTCTGATTGTTATCGGCGTATTACCGACTCAGTTGCAAACTCACTAGTGATTGATATTTGAGGAGATTACAATCCTGTTTCAGTCATTCAGATTTCACTCGATAGAATTCACTCATAGAATTCTGACGGTTCTTGTCTAATCTCAAAGCACCGATCCTTCAAAGAAATTTTATTCCCCAATATCGTGGTCATGATCGGTTCATAATCCATAGACGTCTGAAAAAGCGTCGGATTAAAAGCGCAATGGACAGGTCTCCATCACACCTAATATGTTTCGTTGTTTTGTTAACAACCCAGTGTGAATGATTTCGTGTTGTGACGGTCCATACCACACGGATTTAGACAGGCAAACCAAAATCCGAGGCCCTGTTCGCCGTCTCATCTTGTTCTCGTATTCAGGTCAAACGTGATATGCTATGCTGGTGCTGTTTCCTCGGATTGAGTCCGACATATATGTGCGAAATTTTGCACAGACTCCACTATTGTTCGCTCAACACGGAGATAATCATTTTCCGAGCGCGAGCCTGCACGCCTGCGAACGTGCACACCTCTACACAGTTCAGTTTTATAACTCTCCTCACCTCGAACTCACAACTCACAGGTAGATACACATGCCCAATGCACACACACACACACACAGGATTTCATCTGCACGTGGTTAGCCCGTGAATCGAACCGAGCGAGCATACGCGCACCGATGTCCCTTTGTCTGATCGATCGATTGTGCAAACTGTTTCTCTGTGCTAGTCAGCTCTTTCCATCTCTCTCTCTCTCTGTGCTCATGAGTATTCACCGGCCACTGAAATTTAAGTCTGTCTAAATGCCTGTCTGTCTGTGTATCTGTGCTCACATCTGGGTGTGATTCGAAGAGCATCTGTGTAAATGTGTTTGTGTGTGTGTGTGTGCGCGCGCTTGAGCATATGCATACGCATGCGAACTAGACTCCGGACTGTTGTCCTGAAGAAGGTGCATTTCTGAAACAGTTGCACAATTCAGTCACTGCTGTCTGCAATCTCTTCCCTCCCCACGTAACTTAGTTCATTCCATAAAACGGCCTGGCGGGGGAGGTGGGTGGACGAGCATTGGTTGTTTGGGCAGGTTTTGGTCCCCGGCCAGGCATCCAATAGTCTGAGACTTTAGTGTATCAATCATTTGCTTTCCTGTTTTGTTTGTGGGTTACTGAGTTATTTGGTTTACTGGGTGCCAGAAACAGACATATTGTAAGATTTAAGCAACTAGGTAAATGGAAGTTTAAGTCACATGCAATATGCAAATTGAACGGATCCGGAATACACCTGATTACTTGATGACCGTGTTCCGCTGGAGGCCATGTGCGCATTTTGTCCTCACTGAGAGGCACCGTGTTTGTCTGGTCATGCCGAATGGCGCTTGTCTCGTATATGAAGATGCCAGATTAACTACCAGTTCTGTTTTTCTGGCACCTCAATCGCGTCTCGAAAAGACGTCGGGAAACACACGTGTTGCACCGGAAGAAATGGTCACAGCGACCGGCCAGCAGTCCTAGCGATCGTTCATCTGCGAGTCGTATGCAAATCAGGATGCCATTTCTGGTTGTAGCAATGATGTTATTGATCGAGGCCGATTTGACAATTTAATGAAGTACCGAAAACGAGATTTGCTCACCACGTCGTCTTCTAGTGTATTTTAGATGTCCTATAGATTTTCGGCTTGGTTTCAAGTGTGCTAGGTGAGGGGCAGGGGAGGTCCAAATGTCACAAGTCGCCTGAGCATCACAAGCGTACAGGTCAATAAACTCAATCACCGATAAACGTAGTAACTTGCGCACATACAAGTTTGTTCAGTATCAGTTTAACTGTTAAGTAATAGAACCTTAAAGTTTGGAGTGTTTCTTTTCCGAGGAGTGTTCAACTATAGTGTCGACAGGTACACGATACAAGCTCACGATTGGTCATCAGAATGATTCTAGGCTACGTTTTGATGCAGAAGAACGAATGGCCTTACTGGATGATGATAATGTTTCAATTTCTATGGTCGTTGTTTCTACCTCCCTCTTTCACAGCACTTACTTTCCCCACACGAAATTGTGCCGCCCAAGCCAAGCCTTACTCTGGCTCGCGAAGTTGAGGCACGTGAAGTTGCCCGCAGTTTAAATGCATCCAAACGAAAAATGACCAATCCACCGAAACCGGCCACCCGTAGCAGTACAGTGACCGATCAGTCGTGCACTCTGGCCAACTGGATTGCCCAATCGGATCGCGTCGACTGGGCTTCCGGTCCGTCCCGGATACAAGAGAATTCTTTGGACCGTAGCGTGCGTCGCCGGAGCACGGATGTGGATTTCAACTATGTGGAAGAGACAGCCTCAATGCGACGACGACGGGAACAGTTGGAGGCGGAGTTAGCGGATTTGGAGGAACTTTGTGCACCGCACAGTGAAATACATCAACGTCTCAGAGAGACTCAACGCGCGTTGAGGTCAACGGAGCACAGTAGCGCCAAAATGCAAGTGAGTCATGCGTTTCAATGTGAATCGATTTATTCATCTGATTGGCTTTACAATAATACGAGGTTGTAAAATGGACAGTTTGAGACATTTTATGGGAACAACAAAACCCATCAATGAGATTAGAGTTACCTTTGTGTCACGCAAGAACTTTTCTCAGTGAATGATTGACTCCTCATTATAGTGCAAAAATATAAATAATTCAAGACCCTACTTGTCACTAATGGCGTAGCCGGAACTTGCCAGAAAAACGGAAATGACTATTGCAACTGTTTTCAAAATTAAGGTTCTATTGCATTACAAGATGTTTTATTACGTAGCATTGTCTAATGACCACTAGACTGGCTGAATCACACAATTCTGCTGTTCCACCTTGATAACATCAACGCTGGAACTTGAAATGACAAATCGCATAAGATATCATGAGTTAGACCAACCTGTAGCCAAATAACCAGCCCCATAAAACAGGATTTGAACCTCAGACCTGAACACCAGATTATAATAAAAGGTGCAGGTTATGAAGGAAGCAGTATAAATCAAACACACGTATGATCTTGTTTGGACAAGTCTTGCGATCTCGGTTTTGAATGTTCCTCTCATTCCTAAGGGTTCAATATCACATGCCAGTGGACCGTCCGCGGCACTGTTGCGTCGCTTACGAGCCGACCAGTATTCGGGCCAGCGACGTCCCCGTACCGATTCCACACGGGCTCGTTCACGATCGGGCCCGGACGAGGAACAACATCACGTTGAGGAATGGTTGGATCCGACTCGTCAGTATAGCGAATCGTTTCGGCGCGGGACAAACGATTCCGGACGGACAACTCCTCGCCGGAGAAATCAATCGGCCTCTGGAAGGTCACAGCAATTCACTCCAATTCAAGATCCGGGCGACTTTGACAGTCGAAATGAGTCGTTGAGACGGTATCGTAGGTTAGTGTTCTATAATTGGGGTGAATGAGAACCCTTTTGATAAACAGTTTATGCTGATTTTTCACGCAATGCACCACTACGAACTGAGCTGTTTTCAGTCAACAGTGAAATAGTTTTTACGTCAACAGTTTTGGTGATTTATATTTTACTAAGTGAATCATTTATTGTATTTTATAATATTTCACTAAGTCAATTAGCCGAATTCCACACTTAATATTTAGCTGTTCCTTGTCACTATGGCTTTCAAGAACTCGAAGCGTTATCAAAGCCATCCAAAGTAAACTTATAAGATGACATTGAGTGATTTAACGAGATAGCCTATTCAATGCATTCAAGTGCCGAAACAGACTACATAGCAATGATTTAAATCACGTTCCGTCTCCCAGAATCTTTATTCCCGTTCTGATTATCATGTTCTTGATTAAACCCTTTGATTGTTCACAGGAACCAGGCCGTGTTGATTGTCTTGGATTGGGTTTTCATTCCTCTGGATTTCGGTAATTCCCTACTAGTTAAATACATTTATATCCAATGGGAAGATTTGTGATGATCGACAAAGAGCACTGGATAGCGGTTTTGTCCTGTTTGGGGCTCGTCAGCAATGCGTGCCTTTTGTATCCCTGTCAGGACTTGACTCGCAAGCCTCCGAGTTAGGAGTGGACACCCTTATTCCTAAGCAACATGGTCGACGGGGATCACCTTGTGTAAATGGCTCAAATCAACCAGAAGAGTCAAAGCTCGAGCCCTGACAGGAACAGAAAAAGTATGCACTGCTGACAGGACGAAGCAGCGGTTCAGTGGGCTTTGTCGTTCATCACCTATACTTCCATCTTTATTTCTCGTTGTTTATAAAAGGAAGAAAAATCTATCGGAATTCAATTATGCTTTCATCAGGTAGAAGAAGGATTAATGTCTGATTCGGTCAAAGTAGCCTAAAAATAAACCATAGAAGCACAAGAACAATGGCTGTTACACTTTGTCAAGAACACGCGTGATCTTCCTTGCGTGATCTTACCTTTTGTCGGTCAGTTTACTACCATTATGATTTCTTCGTTTGTAACAATCCCCAGGAGTCAACCGCACCAACGTCATTTACGGACAAAATTTTTCACGGATACGCGTGCACCAGTAGTAAGGCTAGGAAGACCGTCGTCCTATTTTTGGATATACTAGAATGTGCCAGTGAACTGGTCTCCCATCGATAGCCCAAAACGACTGTACATTAACGAATCGCATTTTTGTGGACTATTTGAAGCATAATAGTTCGAGCAGGGTGAACACTGTTTGAGATGATAATCCATGCCGTATCTCGTATTTGATGGGCTTGATTTGGGCGGTTTTGCGATAACCAGCTGTGTACACCTGTTTAGAATGACCAGATTTTGCACATCTTGAAGCCTTCAAAGCTAACAGACCGAACTAGAACATCATCGGGAAAAGTTGTCAAAGCAAACTATTTATGACAAAGTGGAGAGCCGCAGACAAGAAATCTTGCACAATGATACGAAATTTGGAAAAATGCAATGCATAAAAGAATTGTAAGTGTGAATACAAATACGGGAGGTTCAACAGAGTATTGATTTTGTTTCATACGATATCTTAAAGAATAGTTGTTTGCAGTCCATTCTCTGAGTTATATATTAGGGCCAGAGGAGATAAACTACCTGGATAAGCATTGCTGTTAGTCTTCTGGAAATGGGAAAGAACAGAGTAAAGGACGCTGTAAGATATCCAAATACGAGGAAATAAAGGGTATGGGCTTTACGTGCGTGACAACAGTTATGTTTTCCTTAACATCTAGTTGTTTATTTGTGCTCAGGCTGCAAAGTCTCCCTCGGTCATTCACACCCACACACTCCAGAACTGATAAACTTGTGTTTCGCTCCCCCTACAGCTCATCAGCAATACATATTCAGTTGCCATTCCAAGATTTAAACTCGCATGTTATGCGTTACTGTGGCCAATAAGTTCACACGGGCTAATCAAAAGTAACTATTTAGGTTTTTTCATATATCTCCAAAGATTTGGTTCTCACAGTCATAAAACACACCTTCGTTGCGAGGAGCCCAGAGTTCAAATCTCGGATATGTCAGTCAATATGCACTACTGATGGGCTTTACAAGAGCGAAACGCGACTGTAGTTTCTCTCAATTGTTTGTTTGATCAGGCGAGTTGAGTTTTATGCAAAAAGCGGAAATATGAAAGATATTCAGTCGAAATCAATATGATTTACTCCACATCACTACGCGGCAGCAGCTGTGAATAAGATACGAATGAAATAACTTCAATCGACTGAAACCGTACCAAATAGCAAGCGGATCATGTCAACCGGAATCTCTGTCACTCGGTTAACAACCTTAGTTCGCAGTGCATTCCTCAAGCATCTAGTAGCTCAAAATTTGTTTCATTTTCTGGTGAATGATTCGGTTTGTTTCTACTGATGTCCCAGAATGACAGTGGATCCAACACGGACTGGATGCTCAGTAGCTAAAACTGTACAGTCAATCGATCATTTTTATCCAGTAGTGGCGAGAACTTTTTAATTGTTTTACTTATTTCGACTGAAGTTAATAGCCACAAATGTTGCCTTATAAGTTAAAGAGTTTGGTGGCTAACTTTTATCCTACACATACACTGATAATCTCACCTCGGTTGATGATCAAACGTTTGCAAGCCAATTACCAAGAACGGCAAACAGACCGAAAGGAATTCAGTTCACCCGAGCTACGAGAACCAAATTTCAATACTTTGTCAAAATTCAATCCTATCCGGGACATCTGTTTTGGTATCGACTCATGGGAACTCTACCGAAAATCGGGTTCATATGTTTCAGTTTCGATTAAAAAAATCCGCATCCGTCTATTCATCATAGACCAGACGATTCACTGATGGACTGTATGTCAAAAAAGGATTTAAGCTGGTAAAATGACCAGTTCATTTTGTGAATTGTGATCATTCTTCAGATAAAAATCGAAATGTATTTAACTTGACTTGTAACGAACAAGAATCCCGAGCCCAACCGGATTGGGGTAGTTTATTATCATCATTCTTGTTCTTTTTGGTCAAATGCATTTTTTAATTTGGCTTTTTTCGTTTTCGGTCGATTGGAGCATCTAAGTTATTCATTGGTTTGAACTCAAATATTCGTGAGGTTTCTAATTCTCCGCGGACGTGTGTTCTTCATGCAAAGCCAATTGCTTTGTTTATTTGTAAAAATCCAAAAACCCACTACTGTTCACTTGTTGCATTCGTTTGGTTAGTAATTATCAGATGTGCATATTCATCAAATCCGCCTGGATTTCGAACCCACGCACGCACACACACACACACATCCGACACATCATTCTACTCCGCTTCTTAATTTTTTCAGTATCCCGGATCATCTGAACCTGATGAAACAAGATGAGTCAGTCGGACTCAGTGAACTGACTCGCCAGAAATCCTTCGAATGGGAACCATTAAATCGTCCTTTGAATATGCCGCGTCCTTTGCCTGAATCGTCACAAAAATTCGCCGCCCTTCAACCTGAGGTTTTTGTATATCCATCACGTGCAAACACACTGTATCTGTCCAATTATAGCCAACGAGTCAGCCGACGAGAACCGGATCAGTCTAGAGAACCCCTGTCACGGTTGGAGACACTTGGTCGTGATGGCTATCTTCCCGAACCCGGGTATGGGATCACATATACAGTACGTACCGTTGAACTTAATCTATCCTGCGTGGTTCATACAATACACGAACCAATGTACATTCTTCGGTAGAAGAAATAAGTAGCTAATAAGGATCTTCATTGGAGCATGTTTCCTACCGTAGTCCGCCTTGCATATCGCTTTTGTAATCAGCCTAAACTACTGCAATAATTTGAGTGGTTCATTCCCCATTAGCAAAATGCTCCGCTTGAAAACACAACACTATCAGATTAGGGAACCACCCAGAGGACCGTGGCTATTAGGGATCATCTGAATTCAGTGGTTATCGTAAACTGAGGGGCCCATCCGATTTCCGCCGGTCTAGGTCCGGTTTCATGTGATTGGGTGGTCGAAATGTGGATAACCCAATATGTGGGCAGAACGGGGACCCGTCTCAGGGTATGGTGATAAACCGAACTGAAATTTGATACTGTATTCGGATTTTTTAGTGCTTTGTTATGGTATGGTCGTGTCCAGAAGATATCATGTGTCCGATACCAACGCAAGATTTAAGAAGTGAATCTTTTGATTCAATGTTAACTCTTCGTGACTGAATGAAAATGTTTTGTCCGTGGCGTAGAAAAATATCTCGCCTTGTGTTTTCCCGTTTTTTTGTGTAAATGCTTAGCTACAACAATTTACGATAAAACTTTTTCAAAACATCTAAAACTGTCCTGCGCGGAGGATAAGTTCATCGTGGGCTGAAATGTCACTGCTCTTGTGCCACGTCTCCCAACCAAGGTGATTATATCGAACAGTGTATGTTTATTAGCACATATGCAACAAATGCCTTCTCTCCAGCTTACGGTGTTTGCAATTGATGCGCGGAGGAAGATTGTCGCGGTGACCAATCCATAGCCTGACTTAGGGGAATCCAGCGGGTGTAAGCAGAACTGGCCTCAGTCAATCCTTCTCGATCGTTTGTTCGGCCGAGGCCTGGAATAAGATAGACGTTACTGGTTAGAAACTCTAATGGATAGTGTTAGCTTGCGTGAATGCCTTAAAATTCCATTGTGTGCTTCTGTGTCCTCTTGCCTCAAGGTTTTCTTGTGATGTAAACTGATGAAAAATCCACCCCATTCTTCATTCAGCCATGTCTTATCTCTGTGTTTCTTGATTCGCAATCATTGAGTGTAAACTCGTGAATACTACGCCTTCCAGACCTAAAATCTAGACAAAAAATAAAGTGAAAGCATTTCGCCTTTCGTCTTTAATTCCTTCACGATTCATTAAAAATAAAAGTGGTATTTCCGATGCCGCACTCTAACCCGGGGTGAACACTTACAGAACTCAGTGTGGAAAACTCTACGTTCACAAGTGAGTATGACATTACGAAAAACCAATATACGCGCTGATAATACGAGCTGATTATGTGCAATCGGCTACTAAACAGACTCTCGTGAATGCACATACCTATTGTATAAGATCATACGCTAAACGGCGATATTGTTGCATAGTTTTGAGATAATTTTGTCTCACACTCACCGGTTTGCCTTTGTTGTGTTCGTTTTAAGGCTTTCTGATTCTGAACTTTCCGACCTAACAGAATAAGCAAAAACTCACCCCCACCCCCGCCCAGCTGTATTTTTCTGTTCGCTAACCACATTTTCAAGCATTATGCGCTTAGCTTTCTCAGATAGTGTCTGTCCTTCTCCGTTCATCCAACTCTGTCATGGACGGTTTCGGCCAACTAGTTAGATTCACATTACTCCACGGAATCTACGAGCTCAAAATAAGAGAGACAGAGAGAGAGAAAATGTTGATAGTTTTCATCTTATACTAAGTTGGAATTTTCCGATGAATTCCTAAGTCTTAGTTGTGATATGCATACCCTAAACATGCAGCCGCTTTTCCCTCATGAGACGTATTTTCGCGTGGGAATAGAGCGAGGGCTTTCAATCACGTGACTGGACCAAACCAACCACATATCATTGTCCGCTTTGTCCTCAAAATTTCATTAACACCTCTTTATATCCCCCCGTCAGCAATGTTTTGTGTTCTGATTCAGTTCAAGATGGAATCATGCATGCAGCTTTGAGTGTGGTATTGTAGTTTAGTCTGCCAAACGAAAGAACAGTCGGGGATGCTAGTTTGGTCACATTCTTAGAGTTCATTTCGAGAGGAAATGATAAAACCTTTGTTCCGAACCCTCACAATGTTTTATGCCGATCGACATTTCATCGGTTACGTGAGTCGTTTGGTTCTAGATGAACTAACTGAGTCCGTCACTCACCGAAACATCTACAGAGCATGGTTCTTAAGTAGGCACACCGATGAACCAATCAATCTGCCATTATGCATATAGCGAAACGGAATGAACTGAGAACGCCCTTTGGACAAGGAGGACCAAGTAAAACAGCCACTTTTGATGAATCATGTCTCAGGCATGTTTACTTTTTGATTTTTTTAGTCACTTCCTGGTCATGTTCAGGTTAGACTGCTTCATTTCCAGGGGGGGGGGTGCTTAAATACAGCGAAAAAGAGATTTAAAAGGAATGCATTTCCACGTATTTTATCATTTGATTGTTATTGGCGTGGGAACCGGATTTACCTGTCACTCAACCTATTAGTCCCGTACAATCTGTGTGCATGTATGGATAGGAAGTGGGTTCAACCGTGTGTGTATGCACAGCGGTCGACAAACGGTTTTTTTGTTTCCCGGCCGATCTGAGGCTGAGCACATTCTCACTTTTTTACCAAATGCTTACAAGAACCTTTTTCAAAAACTTTGAGATCCCGAGATCACACAGTTTGACTTTATTTCTTCAATGAGAAATCTAAACATTTTTAAAGTGTAACTTCACCTCCAGCCGAACAATATTGTGCACTCTTTGCAACAACTCCGCGTGTGCTAAACTTTCACTATCTCTCGCTGTGTGTGTGTGCTTCCCCCTCTCTCCTCACATAGTGAGTAAAACGGGTGTGTACTTTCACTTTTCGTGTCTCCTTCCAGCCATCCGATCGTTTGTTCCGTGAGTGGAGCCAGCCTCTTGTCGATCCAAGCGACAGGTTTCAGAGACATAACAGTCTAAAACCGAACACCGATTCCATGCCCAGTAAGTTTGGGGCTCGTTGCTACTTTATGGAACCAGTGATTTTGAATTCGCTTACTCGTACCCTCATACCCGAAAATTTCCCAGTACACCGAGTTATACAATTCAGCCTAGATTGATATTTGCAACACATGTTTCAAACGTTTTGTTGCTTAGGCTAAATCCTATTCTAGTGTTATACAGAATTCCACAAGATAGTGCCGGGTCGAAGGCAGTCATTTACAAAGATCAACGTAAAGGTTATCGATAAATTGGAGTACCTAGAACAAACCGTCTCATCTGGAACAGGTCAATCATGATTTCCACAGGCACGCAGGCTATTTGTTGGAACTTTAGCTATAGTTACAGTTTTAAACACACCTATTTACTCCATGAGGTCTTGGTCGTTTCAAGAGCGTTGTGAGAAACTGCCAATCGCATCCTTTTGCCCACTCCAACCATACTAATCACAATGTGAATATTTCTTCATAACACTAGTACTTAGAGTTCGACTTAACTGATCTAGTTTTTAGGGCTATGCACAGAGCAAATGAAACGTGAACTGAAAAGCTAAGAAGCATTGGACAGTTGCTTCTATCTGATCGGGTCTCATCAGCAGTGCGAATCCGTTGCTCCAACTGTGGATCTAACCTGGGACCCCAGAGGTAGAACGCAAGTATCTCGGGCTCCCGGTTCGATCTTCGTTTGGAACAATGGATTCGTAGTGTTGATAAGACCCAATCACGTAGAAACAGTTATTTTTGTGCTTCTTAGCTCTCCACCAATTCAACGCTGACACCAGCTATTCGCGTACTACTCATCGAGTATACATCCATTTCGTAAATCGTACTAGTACTTCGCTGTGTCTGGTTTCTAAACAAAGTAGTATTTTTGCCGATTATTGATTGTATTGTATTGAAGCTCTAGGGAGTTATATACAAACTTTCAGCCAAAAATAGATCACCATTAGAATTCTGGTAAAAAATAGGTCAAACATTGGGGGAGTAAATGTTGCAAAAATAGAAGTTAAGTACAAAGTGCATTAGAAAGCTCAGAACGAACACTCTCCTTGTGGGACATTATTCGGGAAAGATAAGGTACCGAAGAGTTTCTTCAGACAGATATCCGAGATGGAATGAGTTTGTAGTTGGAACGAGTTGACGAGTGGGATTTGCATGTGCATAGGTCATTGTGTAAAGGAGAAGCGCAAACAGATAGAATACTGTCAGCAAACTTCAAGCACGCATCAATATGAGCATCACAGATATTGTCAACCAGAACAAATAGTGGAACTTGGGAAACACGGCTCATCCTTAAGAGGCCATGCCTCAGCAACTTGAAATTAGCCTTCAGCAGAGCAGGGAAATTTACAGGGGAGCAGTAAAGGGGTAAAGGGAGGAAAATTGTTGAACAAAAACCCCTACCACGGTCAAATTAGAACAGAAGTGGCTTACTTTTCTTATCTGAAAACTTTCAATTTGCCAGCAACAGTTTGCGTTTGTAAGGACCAGCGAAGGTTACTTTCAAGCGTGACACCTAAGTACTTCATATGGCTGACCCTGCTCATCAGCTTTTCAAGAATTTGTGCATTGTCAGAGGGAGATGAGGAAGGGTTTACAGTGAAAATACATTCAAGGCAGTTTTCGGGATTAAAATTAAGACCAGATGAAGTGGAATATGAAACGAGGTGGGATAAGTTTGTGTCCTATTCAACTAGTTCTGACCGGTTAGATACGGAAACAGAAATGGCGATGTCCTCAGCATAATTAAAGTGTCGTACAGCGGGAGTAATAGGTAAGTTACTGATATAAGTCGAAAAAGATAGGGTGATAGTACAGTACATTGAAGTACACCCGAACTATTCAATGATGCGTTTGACCTTCTTCACAATTTAACATACTGATATCTTTCCGAAAAGAAATCACCATGCCATTCAAGAAGAGAAGCGGGACAGCCAAACTATTGAAACTTGTTAAGTAAAAGAGAACGGGGCACCGAGTCAAAAGCGGAAGAATAGCCAAGAAATGTACAGTACACGTATTCGGCTTTCTCGTTAATGGACACAAATGAAATGTACTAGAGAAGAAACGGCATCCAATGTAGAGCAACTATGTTTCTACGCAAACTGATAATTATCATTGAGGGTGGTAGGGAATAACTGAATGCGATACAGAACTGATCGCTTCGTCAATTTCAAATCAGTGGAGGTGAGAGAAATTGGTCTAAAACGCTTCCGTCTTTGACGTTCTTTTTGGGATGGGAGTAATTCTCACTGAGCGCCAACAATCCGGAATAGTTCGGAGCTCAAGTAAAAAATTTGCTATTTGTGCAAAAATGTGAGACAGTGGCATAGCTCCATGTTTAAGAAGAGTAGGACTTAAGTTGGCTGAACCAGGTGCGGTCCACCCTTTGAGAGAACACGTATGTTTATACATCTCACTAGATGCGATGAAGTGTAACGAAGGTGGGATTTTCGGAGAACTGGGGTGAATATAACCGGGATATGTGTCGGTCTAAAAATGAATGGATGCAACATTCAGTTTTTCAATATCAATAAAGGAGCTGGAAATCACTTTCTTCTGCCTGCAGAGAAGATTGATTCTACGCCACATAGATTTACAGTTCCTCGTCCCAAAAAACTGACTTGCATAAAGGGCATCCAATCGTCTTGTTTCACTCTGGATCAGAAATAATAGTCGTTACATTTCGGCCCTCCTGTCAAATTCAAAAGCACGTTCCTTTTCAAGGCGAAGACGCCTAAGCAAAGGTGTTGATATTGTGCCATGTTGAAGGAACAAACTTATCACAGACCAGCATATGTCAAAAACACAGTTTAACACTTCTGTTAGAAATGTCATATTGGACAAGGAGGTAGTATTTAAAGGAAAACAGTCGGTAACTAACTTAAGAGATTCTCTAAGTAAGGCAATATCGTCTGGAGAAAGATCTCTCTGACGGAACATGTGTTTGGGTCGAGTAAAAGAAAAATGTCCTGAGTGTGAGTAAATCTTAGATCTGACCAGGATCAGGTTGTGGTCACTGGTGCCTAAGGGGAGAACTGTTTGGTAGATAATGTGTCAGCGTGGTTTGTGGTTATGTGATCTAGATGAGAGATTCCTCTAGTTGATTCAGTCATCAGGTCACTGAGGTTTAGACAAAATAAAGGGTGCAGGGGGCGTGGTAAAAGTCACCAGCTATTAGGTGCAAGCTGTCAGCAAGAGATGGGGCAAGAACCGGTAGGAAATTATCATAACATGTATCAATGTCTGATAACCTACGATGGGGTACATTGTATAAATTAATGAGGGCTATAAAAGGAAAGTGAGAGAATTTGGGGTGACAGAAGACATTCAAGCAATCAACGCCATTTTACTTACAAAGTACTTCGGACTTGGCAAACCAATTGAAATTGATATAGGTAACCACAGCGCCTCCGAACTTCTTCGGACACCGCTGTCTATCGTGTCTGAAGCAGATGAAATTATCCAGTTGGACCACGGAATGGTCCACATCCTCATTTAGCCATGGCTGCTGAAGACACAAGACACGAGAGGTGCGAAATTCCTTTTGTCGGAGGACGTAGGCAAAATCCGAAAGCTTCCCAAACAAGAAACGGGCACTGTTACGCACAATTATATTTGCAGTGATCTTGCTGGAATTAGTGTGACCGAGAGCAGTTTGCAAACCGGAACAAATGCGTTTTCGTTGTTTGCATTGTTTGTGCGTTTGATTAGCGACTGGAACTCCAAACATGGCGGTGTGGTTTTTCATAACAACATTCTTAATATTCAACATTATTTTTTGTGTTTAGGGTTAAAGCATGCATATTTAGCAGTAGGGCGGATAAGTTACAGAGCGCAACGGTGGCGAAAAATTGTAGCACAGCTGTTCAAGAGGTGCGCGGGTTTGTAATATTGGCTCAATTGACGTAGATAGATTGTACTGTTTCAGCTCAATATGTGTTAATTGTTGAACTCCAACCTCAATTGAATAACAGTTTTCGGACAGGCCTAACTGTTTAATATTCCATACTTAAAAAAAATCCAAAATAATGACCTTTTTCTAGTAAATATGATTCTTATTCTCTTTGCATAAATACGTAAGCACCGTCGCCTACACACTCACACTCTCATCTGTTCTTCTTAGTCTTCAGTTTTTCTCTTCTCTCCCGTTGCTCTAAATGACGCATTTGACAGCTCCTACATCGAATGAGTCCAAAATAACGTCAAAGTCAAAGTCACAGTTTTATCATGGAAATTACTTACAAGCTCATGCTTCTCTTGTCCCCATACGATATTTACACAATTGAATCGTTTCACAGCGAAAACAAATCACATACAGTTCCAGGTGGGAGATTATAGAGAATGTAGGCTTCGATGAATTTGCGTTTGCTTTAATGGTGTAGGAATGTGAGGTGCACCAAGATTTCATTGAGTCTCCGTTTGAAATACTCAATAGTTGGTGCATAAACGCCGTGAGGTGGAAGGGTGTTCCGAGTACTGCATACTCTGACTGCAAAAGATTGGCACCGGCATTCCAGTCGACACTTTGGAATCATCAACGTAAAATGGTGTCCCCTAATGTGTA